CTCGTGGCCGCGCTCGCCGCCCGCCTCGTCCCTGTGCTGGGAGCCAATGCTGGGGCTCCAGATCCGTTCGCGCTCGGTGGAGCAGACGCTGGTACCGCTCGTGGCGCAGGTACTGACCAAGTCAAGCCGAGCAGGCGGCTCGGCTCCCGCGCGGCTATCTCCGTCTCGGTCGGTCGGTCGCTCCGTCCTTCTTTCCCCGGTCAGAGCCTTGGGTTACCCGCGTGCCCTTCGACTCCGTTCCTGAGGTCCTGATTTTCATTTTGGTTGCATGCTATCCAGAGTCACTCCGGATGGGGGCCTTAACAGACGGTTTTACAAGCAAAGTGCATTTGCTCTACGTTTTCGGTGGGTCTGCCCCACACCCTCTGGGGTGTCGCTGGAAGGCGCCTGGAAGCAGAGGACTGAGGCGGGGAGAGGGGGCGGGCGTTTAAAAAGCATTTTAAAGTAGCCAGGAGCAGGAATCTCTCCCCCCTCCCCTCCCGTGCGCGCGCGTTTTCGAGCTCTCCGGAAAGAACTTGAAGCGTCGCCCGGACCGCGATTCGGAACGCGGGTTTGGTCTCAGCCCCGCTTGGGGGAACGAAGACCTGCTTAAAACAGCGCGACTTTAAGACTGCAAACGAGGGTTTACGAGTCTTCCGTCCAGGGAGAGAACATCTTGGAATTCCAGCCTGGCCTTTGTGCTTTGTTTTGTCTTCCCCTCGGGCCCAGAAGTCGTGCATAACTTTTTTTTAAAACGCTCGCCCTCACGAGCTGTAATCCTTGAAAGAATTTTGACTGCCTTCCGGAGGATTAGCGGCGCGTCCCGTGTAGCCTTCGTTCGCACTCTTTGTATGACGAGGGAGGGGGGATCTATATTGCATGCATGCTACCTTAATCGAGGACGATGCGCGGCTCGTATTCCTATAGGCAGCTCTACTCCAGTCTCTGCTTCACAGATAACCCTGCAACTTCAATAGGAGCAGTTCGTTGCAGCTCTCCAAAGAGTTATTCTTCAAGTCGCCCCATAGACTTTGTAAAAGATAGCTTCCGAGTAAAGACGTTCCGGAAAAATGTCTGTACTGGAAATACGACTGAGTATCTCCACTGGTAAATCTGTGCCTTTGAAACCAGTAAAATCTATTTGCCAGTGAAGGTATTTAAGTTTGGAGTATATGTGAGCATACAAATCATAGCTTGCCATTAAGCAAGACTTAAACGAGCTGAAGTAATATCTTAGTTACCTGCCGTTCTCATTCATTTCACAGGGAGCATTTTGATCATCTTGGATTGGGTTTAGTGCTGTCAGCGCTTGTCAAAAGCAAGGGGGCAAGTCAGTCTGCTTCTGGATTAAATCCCTGTTCAGGCAGTACATTTCAGCAGGAAACTAAGAAGGTTGCTGAATTGTGGCATTAATTTTGTTGAATGTCTTAAGTCTGTGGGCATGCACAGAATTTCAGACATTTCAGTTGGAAGCCAGAATGAGTGGGAACCTGGAGCAAAAAACTAGTGAAAACATATTTGGATTTTACAGGCTAAAATTCAGAAACATACTTGACATTCTTGGCGAAGGGATTCTTTTTAAAATTCTATGCAGACTGCTGGTTATGTTGGATGATAAACTACTATGTCTTTATCCTGTATAAAATATTTATTTACAGAATGCATATGATTCATAATGATTATATATTTTTCAGACTTTATTGTCTGTGGTTATTGAGAGTAAACTGATTTGGAACCAAAGTTGCTCTGCTGCTTTCAAACTAAAAGTTAGTTAATACTGTTTAAATATTATTTAAAACAGTTTAACAAACTCATAGAAGACGCTGTTCCATTTTTTAAGATTACCCTCATTCCTCTAGTTATTCAAAAGCTTCCTTACTGTACTTGGTGCATAACCTTTTCCACTGGATAACTTAGAAAGCAGCTATTTACTTGCCTAGTTGCATCAGACACAGTAAGAATATTGTAATAGTTTATGTCATGCAATGCATTCTGAAGCATGAAATCTTTGGAAATAAATTTCAGTGAGTTAAACAGGACAACTGAGCATGTTTTGCATTAAGGTTTTGTATTAATATTACAAACATTAAGTGTCTGTAAGACAAGAGACACAGTGTTCAATAGTTTAGGGACTGGCTTTGAAAAAGTAGGAAATCAAAAAATATTGGAAACGGAAAATGAAACAGTTTAAAAACTAACATTTAGGAGTATTTAGAAGCAGTCCAAGCTTTTATACTGGTTTGACTACAGTACTACTAAATAAAACATGTATACATGATCACTTTAGGTTACAGTTAATAAGCCATTCTGTGTATATCTGAGTAAACAAGTAATACACATTTAGCTTTTCCAGGAATTCAAGTTGAATTTAAATGAACTTGTTCAGATAAAATAGAAGTATATGGATGCATAGAAGGCCAAACACCATCATGAGACAAATATAACTTTGGCTCTGTATTGCACAGAATAAACTTAGCTTTTGAAATTGTAGAATACTAGATTACAAGAGCAGGAATAGCTAATACAGATGGTTTGCCCAGAGTTTAAATTTATATTAGGATGAATTACTCCCCTCACTGATCTACAACTTTGCTATTCTTGTCATTGTGCAACCAGTAAAATAGGTGTGATCCTTCCTGCTTCATTCTGGTTTGTTTTCAGGTAACACAGTGTTGGTGACTAATGACCTTAGTCTTTCTCAGATCAACATATTTTGTTGGGTTTTGATGAAGATAAAATAAAGGGAGACTGTGTGTGAACTCCCACAGAGAAGATAGAATATGTGTAATAAGAAAATAAGAAAAATAAAAATATTGCCAGAGAAATTTGGCTGTGTTATAGCCTCTGAAGTCATTGAAAAGGGAGGATAATTCTTTCTGCTCATATCTGAGTATGTTGCAAATAGAAAAATGCTGATGGAAATGGTGCCTAGCTAGTAGAGTAGGCACAGCCCAGGTAGGGCAAAAGGATGGGTGGTTTGGGTGGCAGCAAAATACCAGATGAGGGAGATTTTGGGTGTTTGCTGGAGAATAGACATCTAGTTTATATCAGGGCCGAAAATTTGACCACTTAGCCCAGTATTGCCTTTTGTGATTGATAGTCAAATTGATTGACGGTTCTCTGGGGACAGTAGGCTGTGTTTCCTATGTCCAGAATGGAACAACAATAATAATAGTGTTTCCCCTTTTATTTCATTGTACTCTTTTAGTATATTCAGTAGCCATTCTAATATTATTGCATCTGCTGCTAAAGCCTATGTATATCTTGATAACCTGTTGACTGAATTATCACAGCAGTCTTCCTGCCACTATTACCTGATGTTTGATCTCTTTAAAAGTATTACTGTTGTCAAATCATTTCCCCTCCTGCTGCAGTACACTGTTTCTTGTCTTGGCTCTTTTTGCTGGCAATTCATCATCTCTAGCCCACATATGCTTCAAGATTAATTCTTATCTTCTTCATTTTTTTGGTAGCTGATTTCTTGTTTATTTTGAGCCTAGTCTGTGTGGTAATGTTAGAGATGGTTGCCTGAATGGGAACTGGAATATTTGGGAAGAACTTAGTATCGTGTCAAGGTAGGTGGTTTCTGTTGTCCTGCCAGGTCCTAGTCTCTATGTTATCATGGAAAATTACCTTGTGTTGATGGTGAAACAGTGGTAGTCGATTCTCAGTATTTTCATTTGTATGGAGGTGTGGTGTGTGTGTGTATGATTTTTAATCCTGCCTTCATTATTTTTTATAAATAACTCAAGGTGGCGAACATACCTAATACTCCTTCCTCCTCCTATTTTCCCCACAACAACAACCCTGTGAGGTGAGTTGGGCTGAGAGAGAGTATATTCAAGAAAGCTTTTGAGGACTACCATATAAGTTAGGGATTGCTAGCGCAGCACCTATGGGTATTGTAGCAGATGTCACCCTCCCGAGACAGTGTTAATGAGACCACAACATTGAATAGAAGTTGATGTTTATTTTTTTTTTTAAGAAATGACTGAAATGTTGTGAGACTGCCAAATCTCATGAGGCAATAGTGTTTCTGCTTAAAACCAAGGATACCATTAAAGAAATATCTATTTTATTTTTACAAATTCCAGAAATTACCTGTAGTACTTTCAGAGACCACCACTGGTCTCCAGAATGGAAACCATTGCCATAGAGGAACTAAGTGGATAGCTTGAAAATGTTTGCTTTAACAAAAAAGAGCCATACTTAAATTATTATGGGATTATAATCTGAGCCTGAACAGTATAGATTGAAGAATCAGAAATTGTAAAGGTAATAATTTTTCAGTAAAATAAAACTAGCATTGAAAAGTAATTAAATGTTGGCAGCATCATACATTATGCTGATGGTGAGGGTTGCATGGTGCTACTTGGCAGAGTGACCGGCTGATGATGTTAACTAGGGGTGGACAAGCTGTTATGGCAGGAGAAATAGACTTAAGGTTTGAGGGAAGCTGCTGATACAGATCAGATGGGACAGTGATGTAAAGAAAATGGGAGCAGATTTCCTATTTTTTCCTTTTTCTTTTTTTAAGGACATACAGGGTTTAGTTTGTATATGTCCCACTAAAAAGAGGCAGGAGAGAGAAGGTTGCGAGGCTATAACAACGGAGTTCAGGAGTGGCACGCTGCCTACAGATTTTTCATTCCTGCTGCAGGATTGAAGGCAGATGCTCAGGAAGGAAGAATGTTTTGTTCTTCATGATGTACATCTATCAAGACTTTGAGCTTTCAACGCCATCATGGTTTTTTACATGAACTATTAAATGAACTTTCAGACAAGAAAAATGTTGAAATGATTCCAGATTTATTTACAAATGCAAACTCTTAACACTTCCTAACACAGAGGTAAGCATCAGACCTTTGGGTTGTCTCTTGAGTATACACTCAAACTAATGTCTCATTAGTGTTTTTATCAAATAAATTTATATTTATTGGAATATTGTACATGACTGCACTTTGGAAGATTGTACATGATTCAATATAAATAACCACCCAAAGGAGCGATTATACGACAAATACTGGCTGAGGCAAGATTATATCTGAAAGGATGTTATCTGCAAGAGTTAAAGTATGAAAGAGGCTATTCTTTTGACACAACATCAAGATATATAACTGCAACATCAAGATATATAGCAACATCAAGTAATATGAGCCTGAACAGATAAATCACATATATCTTTTAGTTCTTCCAAATGTGATACTTTTCAGTGGGCAATTTCTTGCATTAATCTGAACCACTGAGTTGAGATATCTTTACTTGGGAATGAGTCTCATTAAACAAAGGAACTTAGTTTCTTAGTGATATTTATCTACAGATGTGAATCAGCTTTAAGTGCCTCTAATTGTAGCTGTTACAAAGTATTGAAAATAGGTAGCCTGTAAAATTGA